CTTAACCATTGGCATTGTTATATATTTCTTTACCCATTTTTATTCAAATACCTGTTTATAGCGTTCCCCTCCACACACAAGAAATTGAACTATGCACACAACTCTGAAAACATGAAGCTCATGTATCAGTAACAGGACTCCAATCTGATAAACACAATTCACTCAAATAGCATTCTACATCACAGTTGTGCAAATCTCTAAACTCAAGTTGCATCATTTAGCATACTTTATTCATCTCAAATATCTGACCTTCAAAAAGCAACACCCTTATTACCATTTATTCTCACTCATGTTGCATTTGTGCAAACTCAAAACTAAAAACACTTCAGTCCTGTCTCAGAGCCATGTGAGGATGTGGATGAGGTTCTCTGGCCTGACCAGGATCAGAGGCGGGATGCAGAAGGATCTATTTCATTGAATTTCACTTTTTAATCAGTTCACTTTGTATTTCAGATACAAATAAATAATTATTTTGTTTATTTTTTGTATCTGTTCACTGATTTTCTTTGGAGTGTTTCTCATGGTACTCACTCAGGTCAAATTACTGAGTTTTGCTTCCACAGCGTCCTGCTCTCAGATACTTTCACTAGAGACTCAAGCTCCTCTCCCTGGACAGAACCAGCTTTCCTGATGGACTAATTGAGCCTGTTAGCCTTCAACCTACTGCCCCGGCACTCTACAACATAGGGGATTACACTTGCTAATACAGAATGGTAGAACATCTGCAGCATGATTTTGCATCTATTGACAGATATGAGTATCTGTACAAGACGAGACTTGTGTCAAATGGTTAGAGATCACAGGAAAAGTGAACCTTGATACATCATGTATTTTTCATACGCTTTAAGCTCTTTCATCTGCCCCCACAGTCTTAAATATTTGCAATATGCAAATTGCCGACAGCAAAAAATGTCAATGCATATGCAAGGGTTAACCTTCCAAAGAGCACAAAATATGGACAAAACTGACAGTGCTCAGATGTACAGTTCTTAGAATCTATGTAAACACACACACACTTTAACTTCACACACACACACACACCCCACACACACACACACAAAACACACACACAAGTTGAACAGGTGAAATGTGGCAGGTGTGCTTCTGCAGTACCTGGGGGTTGTGTATCTTTTAACAGAGTTAGGACAGAGTGATATGGGTTAAGTTAGTTAGATAAGAGATCTTTACACACACGCACGCACGCACGCGCACACACACGCACGCACACGCACGCAGTCAGAGATGCAAACAGGTTTAGCTCTTGGATGTTGACTTTGTACATATTTGTTTGCAGAGTGTTTGTGAATGTGGGGATGTGTAGGTGTTTCATGTCAGCAATCTCAATGCTGCATGACAAATTAACCCTTTACTTCCCTTAAGTGTCCGCTTTAGTCATTCCACGACACACAGTGCTGCTCAGAAACCACCAGCTGCACAGAGTAAAGCACGGACGTTGTAGAGTGTAAAACTGCTCAAATCCGGTTAACAAACCAATGGTAGTCTTTCATCCGGTTTAAGAACATAATTCTTAGATTTGTAAATTGAAAAATGTTAATTAACATAATACATTAATTGATTATTAAGTGTTGACATTGTTAACTTTGAACAGAAGTGCCGAGGCTTCATTAATTTTCTTTGACTTGCCACTTGTCTTTCCCCATATTGAACTTATATATGACTGATTCTAGCTTCAAACATCTGTTAAAACATCTTTAAATTTTCAAGTTCTATACAATATAACATACAGTATATCATATATAATTCAGATTAATTGTGTCACTGATTTGACATTTTTGTTGTGCAGCATTTATTTTTTTCCATGTTTATCTATAGTGCCAACCTCCATCGTTTCTTGATTGTCCTTTTGCGTCTTGCTCCAAAAGATCCAGAAGTCCACTACAAATCTTGTACTAAAATATCCGTTTTGACAGCAGACATCAACGTGTTTACAGCCTGGTACAGAAATTTGGTAAGAATTTGGTCTGATTAGTTGATTTCTTTGTTGGTACGGGGATGATTTTAATTAGGATATGAGTTATGCATAATTAGGGGCATGACAGATCTGACTGAAAGCTGTCGCTTTGGAGCGGTTTGTCAGGAGACATGAGGCCTGCCTGAGCTCCAGCTCTTTACCTGTCCATTAGGCTGACTGAAAGTTTGATAGCATTTCCAATATGACAACCGTCATGGACAGCCCTTCAGAAACCAATGGAGGATGTCACTCAGGCTTCGTCAATTATTTACAGTCTATGCTTTGTCTATATAAAGGCCCAATATGCTCTGTAACTTGTCACAATCTGGTAGTGCCCCACCTGAGTTCATAAGGGGTCAAGAATTCTGCTATGTGGCTAAATGCCAGACCCATACATGTTTTAAAAGTAACCGGTAAGATCTTCAAATCAATTCTAAAAGTAACCAGAAGACAGTGTAGTGAAGCCAATATTTGGATGATGTAATGTTGCCTGTTAAAACTGCTTTTTTTGTTTGATTCGGCAAAGGAGGGAGTTACAGTCATCCAATCTGGAGAAGGTAAGTGCATGGATTACTTATCTAATGTCCAACTGAGTAAGTATTGGTTTAGTTCTGAAGATGATTTACCTATTAGTACAAACACGACACAAGATGTTCACAAGATGTGTTTCACAAAGCTACAGTGACTAGACTCCAGTCGGCTTTACCTTGACTGAAAAGGCACCAAGGCCATTCTCAATAAAATGGGTGGAGTGATTTGGATTGAACAGTTTTATGTCTGACTTTGAGTTATATATAGTTAAAGAAAGTTTTCAGCCGTCAGACATTTGACATCACTGAGACAGTCTCTGGAAGCAGTTAGGCATTGAGGGTCCACAAGTCTCAGAGGAAGTAATATCTATGTGTCATCTGCATATCAATGAAAGGAGACATTCTGGGGCTGGATTATTTGGCCATGTGGCAGCATGTCAATAGAGATTAAAATTAGAGCGAAAACTGAACTTTCAGTACACAACATGTAATGTTAGTGGTAGAGGAGTAATAATTAATGGTGACCACAAAGGTTTGTTCTATAAGGTAAGAATTAAACTAACCACTTGCATTGTCCTTGATACCAACCTATTTTTATTTTTACATTCAGTAATGTAAAGTGACCCTGCTTTAAAACAAATACTTTTCTGGGGTTTTTTTTTAACAAGAGAGGATATCAAACGGGGACTTTGGGGTCTTGAGAGACACTCTTGGGTGAGTTTAAAAACTAATAATACACATGAAAGTGTCCCATGGTGCACAAACACATCCTGGCAAAAAAAAAAAAAAAATATATATATATATATATATATATATATATATATATATATAGTTATATAGTTATATCTTTTGGGGTCCAAAAGTAGGGCTGCTCTAGTTTCTTATATCTTAAATGAAATGCTGATCTGGTTTGAATGGTGACACACAGTTTACCTTTTTAACTCAATTTAAGTGAAAGTAGGAGAAAGCGGGAGAGCGAGAGAGTGACACATTTTTCATTTTTCACTTAATACTTGCCACATTCAATACGTCTTTCTGTTTAAGTACAGCACATAAATGATCATTATTCAAAGAAAGAAACATGATACTAAGAAAAGGAGTGTGTACAGTACATGTGGATAGTACAGTGACTAACAACAAGAGATTAACTCTTTCAGTGCAGAGCAAAGTATCCAGACAGACAGAGGGAGACAGACGCAGCAGAACACCACAAGTTTCATTTTTCACTTTCTACACACACAGCTGAAAAAATTTGCTCACAGCAGGGCGGCAAAGAGGATTCAGAGATAATTGTGAATTCAAATGTGATTTCTTTGATCTTAGTCATTGCAAGTACAGGTGGATTCTGTGTAACCATTTTGAGCAGTCGCAACAAAAAAAAAAAAAGGATTTCCCCAGTCTGCAAAGTGGAGGGAGATGCTTATCATGGGGCTGATGATGGGGTGCATGTCTTTACAGAGGGAGTGTCAGGATGACATTTGGGGGGGGGGGGGGGGGGGGTGAAAGAGGGTGAAAGAGGGGGCTTTGTTTGCAGTGTCAATATTTACAGTGACACATGCTGCTGGATGAGTAGTGAGTGACTGAGGGGAATAGTGTGTGTGTGTGTGTGTGTGTGTGTGTGTGTGAGTTTAGAGTTGTGTTTTGAGTGGGAGACAGAAAGACGGTAAAACAGAATTATCAGCCTGAATGGATTGCAGATGTCAAGCTCAGATGAACAGATTTAACACTTTAAAAACATAACTTCTGTCTCACTCAGTGTGCATGTGTGTGTGTGTGTGTGTGTGTGTGTGTGTGTGTGTGTGTGTGTGTGTGTGTGTGTGTGTGACTTTCAGCTAACCAAAGCAAGAACCCAGAAAGTTCCAAAGAAATAAAAAAATAGTAGTAGCAATAAAAAAAAGCCATTGGCAGTTGTGTTTTAAACTCTCAACAAGATAAAGTTTAGAAAGTCGACCAGTCCAGTGTAATGGGATTTAATGGGTGACCAATCACAAGTTGACTCTGCATCTGTCACAATCTACGAACCTCTTTTGCAATGCAAATTAAAGATATGCAAATGAGGGAAACACAGGCCATCTGTAGTACCTCTCCTCTCACTCCATTCTATATCATGTCCTGTGAGCTTTCTCTCTTTTTCAACACTGTATTTGCACAAGTTTGTCTCTTTTGAATACCTAATCCCCATTAATCCTCTTTCCATTTATTTTCCCTTTGTGTGACATTCAGGATTTCAAACTTGTTTTAATCTCTGATAACTTCTGCTATATGTGTTTGTCTTAGCTTTTTTTTTGTAAAAATGTGCTTCCAACTTCAGTGCAGAGTTTTATGATTCAACAGTGTGACTCATTCACTTTCATGTTCTCTGCTGTTTATCCTGCAAACTGCAACTGTGAGAAACTTTAAACTGCTGAATTTCCACATGTCTGTTTTTTAACCAAGATTTTGGTTAACATATGAGCTCAGACCCCTCCAGCTATGCTTACAATAAATATATCATCAAGTTGAATGTTGTATTTATTCTGTAACCACAGCAAAAGGAAGAAGCAACAATAATGTGCCCCTTAAGCATGGAGAGGAGCGTTGGTTCTTTCATACACGACTGAGCCATTCAAAGGCTTCAATTGCCCTCTAGTGGTTAAATTCTGAAATTACATTTTCCTTTTACTAAATGGAGTTATTTGCAACACAATTATAGATACACATTGAATATTAAATGCATTATATGTTCATTAAAAAAACATGTATTTTATTGTTCACAGTGCTCAGAGGTTGGTTTGTCAGAACATAAGTGTATAGTCCAGAAGTTAGATAAAGTCCAAACATCAAAACACAGAATCAGATTAGACCAGTTTTGTTCTGATCACGTGATCACTCTTTACCCAGGTGCACTATTGGGTGAGTGACAAATACCAACAGAAGACTTTATTCAAGCTTCAACTGAAGAGCAGATGATGACTTGTTCTCCAGAGTCCTTAGTCTTTCACATAGCTATCATTCAGCGATCTAGCGCTAGAAGTTGTTGAATGGAGCTCCAATAGTTCAAAAACTGTGTCCATCTGTTGATGAAAAGTCTGTTTTCCCCAAAAAACTTAGGCCATACTGTATAATCAAAAAATTGACTTGCTGCTACTATTGAAACAATCTCTCAAACCCTCACACACGTATAGTAACACACTCTGTGACTTCAAACAGAAGTTATTGTTCAACATTATTAAATCTGCAGGAGAGCATTAGTTGATTGAACAAGGTGGTTACTTTAGAAACAAAGGTGGATCTTTTGAGGAAACTGTACCCCAACATCAATGCATGTGTACAGTATGAATACATGTGTTTTTTAAACCAACTTCTTGTTATATAAGATGGTCGTCCTACAGATTCTGATATACAACAACTCCTGTAATAATACCTGGCATAGAAACATTAAATGCATAGGGCACATGTTTGCATTTCAAGGTGAGATCAGTATGGCTCAGTGACCCTGTTTGGCGCGGATTTGAGGAGGTATAGAGAAACACGGCAGCCTGAGGCCTCCTGCATACACTACGGCAGTAATGTGTGACTTCAAGAGAACACATGTCCAGATCATAGTGCTGCTTACATAAAGTGAGTTACAACAAAGCTAAAAGTGCTATAGTGAAAACATGTGAGTCATTTGCTAATTAATTTCAAGCACTATAGTCAGGAATAAGTCGTCTCTGTTACAACTTGGACAGTGACTTTATTGCCCTGCATGTCATAGAAAAGGCTAAAATCACAGCTGCATTTTTTCTTTTCAAACTTATCAAATAAATTGGGTTTCCATATTTTCTTTTAGTAGTTTTTATGAACATAAACTGTTTTGTGACAGAATCAATCTCATTGTTTGCCAATTATAAAGCTCAGGTTATTCTGCTTCTATAACTCAACAGAAGATATGGGAATTGGGCCTCTCTCTACACCGTCCACAACTGTATCTATACATATTTACAGAAAAATCGTAAGAAAATAAGCTTGAAGTAAATACACAAATTGCCCCCCGGGGACAGATGAAGTCTTTTGAATTGAATTGATCTTACACTTGGACCAACTAGTATTTAAATTGCTTAATATGCTTTGTTTTTATATTATACAGGAACAGCTACATATGGATCCGTTTCATATTGTGATTGTAAATATAAACGCTTATCAAAGTACCATTTTTGGCAATGAAATGTACATATTTGAAAACATGAATGATGTCATTAAGTCTTGTGAAACAACATTTGAAACATCTTGGCACTCACTGCTGGATATTAAACAGCAGGTGTAAGATTTAGAGGTGTCTGCAATTACTAATAGGTCCAAGACGGTTCATGACATGAGATACATTGCACACAGTACCGCAACAAGTGTGAAAAAGGAAGTCGTAAAAACGCTTTTGAGAGGTAACCGAGAGGTGAGTCCATGCGTCAGAGACATTCGTTGACACCTTCGCAGCCCTGAATGGGTGTAAGTCCCAATCTGACTATACTGGGTGAAAAATCTAATAAACTGCTACAGTCCTGTGTGTGTGTGTGTGTGTGTGTGTGTGTGTGTGTGTGTGTGTGTGTGTGTGTGTGTGTGTGTGTGTGTGTCAGTATGCTGGTGCAGCTGAAGGAATATAGGTAGAATCTGTAAGTGAACAGTTTGACAGTGAAAGAAATCGTATCCAGGAAACGGCATCAACACCCTCAGAAAAGGTGTTTCACAGACAGGAGGACTAAGTAACTGTTAAGGCTTTGTTGTGTATGTGTGTTTGTAGTAAATTGAGGCTATATCAAACAAATAAATGCACCCATTAGTATGCTAAAAACCAGTGTTAGATCTAAGTTCCCCTAGATCCTTACCCAGTAGAAAGGTTATTACATTGCAGAGATTTTTCTGTCTGAAGTGCTGAGGTTGTGTGACACAATATTTACAGATTATACCGTTTACAACATGAAAAAAAACGTAAAGAAAAATGGCTTTCGTTCGTGTTTCTGAGTCCGAAAACGTCCAGCTGAAGTCTTTTTGTCACGAGTTCAGTTCAGCCAGTTAGAGCAGATGACATCTTTAACCTTGACAGGCCAACTTAGTGCTAGAGTTAAAAACACACTTCAGAGAAACACAGACAAGTGACACTCTTGAAAGAAAGAGCGTCCAAAAGAAGTGCAAACTGTACAAAAGATTTAAATTTGAAAGCTTCTTATAGAGTATGTTTTTTTTTATTCTTGTTAAAGCTTTAAAAAAGTGTCAAATAGAGTAAAGTTTCATATATTCTTCTTTTTCATATATTCTATGTTTTCTTTCCAGCGACATCCCGCTAATCTGTGTTACATTTCTTTATTGTCCCAGCAGAATGTCTTCATTGATCCCTCTTCTTCCATAACTTTTAAATACTTTTCCTGCTTTTCTCTGACACTTTGAAGCAGATATGACTGAGCAATAGAGTGAGGCATATATTTACTAAGATCACCCGCCAAACCATGAATCACTCTCCGGCTTCTTCCCCCCCCCCTCCTGCATGGCTAAAGTCCTCCGCCCCAGCAGAGGGAGCCATTACTCCTCCACTCCCATCCAGTGACTCCCACTTTAAGAGCCTTTGAACAACTGGCAGTGGGAGATAAATATTCTGGAGGACAAACAAGGAGGTGGATAAACACTCCTCTCCTCCATTCACAAAGGATAACACCTTAGGAGATTGGGAAAAAGATTAAGGGATGTCTTCTCCATCCTCTCGTCCACCTCCTTCTCCTTCTGCTTCTTCAGGCTCCGGTTCCTCAGCATGGGAGTGTGAGTCTGAATGTGTGCGTGCATATCTTAGGCGGCTCCAGCGGGCCTTGTTCCTGTGCAGGTGACCCATCATGGTCTGGCTGAGCAGGCTGGACTCAGTGAAGCGGTGCCACTCCTCGAACAGAGGCTCCACAATGTAGGAGATGAACCCTGAGAAGAACAAAACAATGGTGGCTCACCTCTGGACCAACTTTGGTGAGGGATACATGAGGATACAATTTTTATAGTTGATGTTTTATGTCTGTGGTTAATCACTAGTTCTCACCGATCTGAATGGCTGGAACAGAGTCAGCCTGCTGGTCACACAGAGGGCTTATCTCCAAGTCAAACTTCTTTTCCAGATCCCCTGTCAGGTGAACACAAAACGTATTCATAAATAATTATGACGAGGATTTCTTCTGCTGTGCCCGAGTTGAGTGAAATCAGGCGTCTGAATCCCATGATTACTTAAGATGCCTGACATCTGACATCTGCTTTGTCGTGGAAATTGACCACACATTAGGTAGACATACAAGAATGTGTCTATTAAAACGTCTTGAAAACACTCACACTGCAAACTATACAACTTTACAAATGTCTTAAGCTGTCTGATCTTGTTCCATGTGAATCTGACCTATTTCCATATGACAGAAATGCTGCATTGCCACTTAATCTCTCTTTTAACCACGTTTACTTTTTATAATAGAGCAATGCAATAAATATACTTCAGACTACAAATTAGAGATTAGACATTATTTCAGCTTTAGTAACTTAGATTGTGTTTATGGTTTGCTTTGTTGGTTTAACTTTAAAGCCAATATACCTTAAAGTAGTACTGCATGCAGTATCTTTCTTGTATTTTCTTGTTTCCAACAGAGAGGAAGTCTTACTCACCCTGCCGGTAGAACTCCTCACAGACCCTCTCACTCCACTGTTTGCTCAGCTCCCAAACCCGACATGGATTACACACGTCAGCACACTTTAGAGCAATCTGATGGCAAAAGGAAAGAAATCATTTCATGAGTATATCATAAAATTCAGCATGCATGGATTAGATATACATATAGAGTGCTGTCAGCTGTGTGTGTAGTTTACCTGCAGTATAAAGTGCCTGTGTGAGGTCAGTTGGAGGTCCAGGTCCTGGTTGTCCAGATGTTCCCTGAAGGTCGACAGGAACTCGTTCTGCCTGCTGATGTCTGTGGCCAGAATGAGAGAGCCCAGCTGCTGTTCGATGTCCTGCCTGAGAACCAAAGGGGGGCAGCATTGAGCAGAAAACGACAAATACTATAACATGAACGATATTTGTTGATTCTAGCAAGTGGTCTAGCATTAGTGGTTAGTATATATCCATGGTAATATATCATAAGTTGCACTTATTCAGAATGCCTATTATACCTCTGTATCCTGATGGATACAACGGAGAGCTTTTTCTTTGACTTTTTGACCTTTGTATTTGGGCTGATTGATGAAAAGATGTAATATAAAGTAAAAAGTCATTATTTGGTAACCAAAATTGGTAAAACATTCTCTGCTTTTTTTTGTATTTTAATATAAAATGCATTGCAGGGTTTTGATTTTCTGCATGCATATGTCAGTGGCTCAGCAGTAGAGTTAATGTCTCTCAACAGGAAGGGTTCGATCCCCAGCTCCTGCAGTCACAGCTATAAATGCTTCCTTGGGCAAGACACTGTACCCCAAATTGCTCGCTCTGAATAGCCAGCGGTATGTGAATGAGTTAGTAGAACTGATGGGCGGTTAGGCGCCTTATGTAACAGTCTCTGCCATCAGAGTGTGAATGGGTTAATGGGACTTGTACTTTAAAAACACTGATAGTGGTCAGAAAGACTCCAAAACCATTTAACCATCTACCATATGTGTGCAGCCAGTTGACAAGAAATTGCAGAACATGAATACTAAAGATAGAAATCTGTCTACATAACAGAACACATATCTATAAGAGAGAAGAGGTCAAAATGTCCCACCCTAAAGGTATTGTAGTAAAAGTTCTTCAATAACCAACAGGTGTTTGTGTGTTAATGAGTGTGTGTCCTTACGACATGTCTGCAGGCAGGTGGGACAGCAGTCCTGACTCTCGCAGCATGCCCACTGTGGACCTCCAGTGGTGACTCTCCAGCACAGAGGTGTTCTGTCAGGCGAGAATCACGAAACATGTCAAACAGATTCACTTACAGTTGGACATTAAACACGTTTAACATGTTAGCGCACATACTGACACGTGCCATCAGCAGGCCTGAGTGTACCTGGTAGAGGGACGCGAGGTGGTGTCTGGTCTTAATGAGGAAGGGCTGGTTGACTCCAGGATGGTCCACATCATGGGCGGCTGCTGCCATCAGACCCAGAACACATCCAGAGGACTCAGCTGCTCTGCCAGCTGCAACACAACACAGGGGAATGTATGTTTAATACTCGAGAGGGACTGTTGCACTTATTTCTAATGACACTTGATTGCAAAAAGTCAGGAGAGACCATGAGGAGCTGATTTCACCGCGTTAACTTCTACCAACTTTCATTGACTTGTGTCAGTTTTAAGATGATTGACACAAAGAAGTCAAAAGTCCTTAATGAGAAATGATTAAGGATTGTTTTTATGGCTGTGGCTCTGACACACTGTGTTCATCAAATGTTTTTGGGGACATAATGGATACATTAGACAATGCTTTCTAAATATATGAAAAGATGAGACTCAGACATCTTCAAAATGAATGAGTTTGTGCGCTGAGCTGAAAAAAAAAACGATTCTTTGACTTCTGGCTTTTTTACCCATCCTTTTTGAGTAGAAACACTTCCGTAAGTTATTTCAATGAAGTAGATCCAACATTCTGGTTAATTTCATAGATCCAAAGTCTAAAAGAAGCAGGTAAAATGATTTAAAAAAGAATTGTGGATATTATACTGTGATTCACTCTAATTCTTCGTTGATTTTTGCAGCATTGTGGGCAATTTGTTTTGTCTTATCTCTTTTCTGTTCCTGTCCGGTAAATGTTTGAGTATTAACTGAAGAAAAAGCTCATCCTACTGCCTTTTGACGACCTAACTTTCCACTCATGTAACGTTTGTGCAGAACAAATGCTCTTCCAGCAGTTTGTATTGTCTTTGTTTGACAAGTCGGCAGAGGCAGCAGAGAGGAGAATTATAAGAAACTTTATTTAAAAATAAAGTATTTTTTACCAATTATCTCGCTTGCTGTTTTATTTTAGGTGTAGCATTAGAATGAAAGCATCAGGATTGATTTCACACACAGTTAAACTCATCACAGTTAACTGAAATCATCACAGACACAGGTGAGTCAGATTAGAAAAAATGCAAATTGGCAAATAAAGGGCAAAATAGCATAATATTGATCCAACATCTTATACTGTGAGTGTTCGCCTGTTATACAGAACACCGCAGCATGCGTGCTGTGTTGAATTAATTCTATTTATGTGAGAGCTTTTAACAAAATGGGTGAATCTCAAAGGACACAAAAGCAATTACTATATGGAGGTAGAAGATGCACAGACACTTAATCTGGTCAGAGGGCTTCAGGGATTTCTCTGAGCTGTGGATGGATGTGTTGTCAGTCTTAGAGGGGTGGGAATTATCGCTCAGGGAGGAAAAGCTGATAGAATATGTCAAGGAGAAAGAGGGAGTCTTGTGAAGCCTTCTAATGTAATATGACGTGACAGAGCTAGAGACGGAGGTTGTGTGTGTGAATACATTATTGTACCTTAGGCTCCTTCAGGTAGCAGTACATGGCTTGAGTGACATCAGCGGCATGGACAGCATTGTGATAGGGGTTCTGGGAGTGGTAGTCCTCTTGTACCATGCCTAGAAAAACCAGATCAAACATTGAACATCAATAAGTTTATTAGGATCTTAAAGTCACAACGTCATTTTGGCAGCATTTTTTTTTACATTTTGGGGAACAAATAACAATAATAATGTTTTTTTGTGATGACTGATTGGTAGACAAAGAACCAGCTGATGAAAGTTCTGACTTTCCTGTAGAGATAGATACTTTTGAAATGTAAGGAGGATTATTCTCATATACACAGCAAATGCTGTGTAAATAGTAGTGTCAACTTGGTAAAAAGGGGTTGAGTTAAACACATGTCACGGAAGATTTTTTTTTTAAACATGTTTTACGCTGTTGTTTCAAGCCGGTCACCATCAATAAAGTCGATAACGTTTGATTCTGCTAGTAACAGAGCTTCAATCTTACTCTTCTCTTTTCTTGACTGCTGTATAATTGTGGACATTGTGTGGCAGCTTACCAAGAAACCTGTGTAATTTGACCATGTCCAGCTCAAAGTGGTGAATGAGACCATAGACATTGAAGAGATGGCACATCAGAGTCACCAGGCTGTTACCTAAAGCACAACAATCCAGACAAAAAAGAAAAAATGTTCAGTTCAGTTAGTCAACTATCTCAAAATAATGTTTCATATTACACATGACAGAAAGAAAAAGTTCTGTGGACCTCATTAAACGGATTTTGTTACAAAACAGAGAAAACTTCATTTTTAACCTTAAATTTGAACATCTGGTAATTAAGCAATAAAAAAAACAGCTTACCATTTGTAAGACGGTCGAAGAGGAAAATGTCAAAGTTCCATGTTCCTACTTTTGATAGCATGTGCTGTAAGGAAAGACAAACTGTTAAAAGTGCTGAACTAGTAATAATAATAATACATTGTATTTATAACACCACTTACATCAAATGTCAAAGTGCTACGATTTGAAAAAGGTCTGTCATTCATGCATAAAGGATGTGTTTACAATAACTTGACATACAGTACAATGATATAGATGCAAAAACTGAAGAAAAGTCTGCAGTATTATTGTGATTTGTATGTGTATGTTCTCACCGCAGCTTGTCCCAGGTAGTCGTCGTCCAGTAGGTGCAGTGACCCAGGGGTGTGGGGCACCAACCCCCTCAGCAGCCTGGAGGCGTGGCAGTATCTCTGAAAACTCAGCAGACGTTTCACTTTTCTCCTGGTGCCGGACTCTACCTCCCCCTGCTGGGCACTGGCTTAAATTACAAAAAAACAAAAACCAGTGAGTTTAGTAAACGGAGCAGGGAACCTAATGCATAAATTTGTACTTTGTGCATGTGACAAAGTAGAGCAGCAGTAACACTTTTGGAAGACAAAAGAGTAGCATTAACCTACATTTAAAGCACAATTACCCATGCCGGATGTCATCTTCCTTCTTAGATAACTCTTTAGAACAACGTGTAGTCATGGAGTGATTGGATTATGTTTATTTTGTATTTCAATAAAATTTCAGACTCACTTCTGAGAATTCGCAGGTCGATCAGAGGGTAGGAGCCTCTTCTCTCAACCAGCAACACACCAGCATGACCAGTGTTCAGTTTGCCATCAGCTACACACACACACACACACACACACAGACAGAAATAGGAGAAAGAAGGAAGAGATGGAAATAAGAGGAAGACAGTTTTAGAAATAAAAACATTTGGTGTTATTACTGATGTTCTGTTGTGGACATTTTTGGCCGACCAGCACACATAATCCGTGAATCCAATTTTCCAGGATGAAGAGCAGAGAGGATCGGAGTGTTTAGACTAGAGCAGAGGAAACAAAGGAAGCAGGCAGCGGGGTGATGAGAGGACAACACAGATAAGTGTTTCTCCAGTGCTGTACATAGATGTTCTACATAATCGGCCACACAAAAGCCCATTAAGCTCGTTCTGATATCGGTCACTGTAAAACAAGAGGGTCTTTGAAATGGCTGAATCACCAGCAAATCATGCATCTGTCTGAGTTTGTACAAGGAGGACAGATTTCATGCCACGGTGCAGCTGTTGGGGTGCATGTCTGAATCTGAACACTATTTATTATTGATCGAAGTGGTGCTTAGTTCACTGTGTACACTCTGTTGTCACAACCATTTTTCTTGTTTTCACTCTTCTTTCATACTTATGCTGATCGGGGGGGAGGGGATATTTTGAAGCAAAGATATGAGGCGTGCAGTGTAAACAAGAACAAGACAGAAGAAGACGACAAACGAAGGGATTTCTTTTTGAAAAGCTTTGACTCACAAAAATGATATTCATAATTCAAATAGCAGAGAAATGATTTGGAAGCAAAGAATGTTCTATTAACAAAAATCCTTTATGATGATGGTAAAATGTAAATATGAATGTAAATTGCCAAACTGTGAGACAGCAAGGGAACACAGAGACAAATCTGATGCTTCAAAAAAGAATCCTACCTCTGTTAAAAATGCTTAATTCACACAACCTCCGGGCAGAGACAACGAGAAAACTGAACAGGGTCTCAGCACATGTGCACACATGAATAAATCCACATCTGAATAAACTAAAAACTATGGCAACACTGAATAATTTACACAAAAGATGTGAGGAACTGGAGCGTATTATGTCCCTGAGGTTGCAACTTCACATCACCTTTGAAACTCCTGCTTACAAGGGCAGCTAAACTACCTGCTAATGGGGTTGGAGTCACCGTGGTAACTCCCTCGGGTGGCCAAATGTAGCCTTTTAAGTGCGAGGTGCTGAAGTTGCAGGCAGAGTTTGCAGCCAGGTTGTTGTTTATAGTTGTATTCTGTCTTGGCTGGGCAGCTTTACATAAAAAACACGGTACAAAAAGTGGCATCTTTCTTTTTTTATGTATGTTAAAGAGTCCAGCGTACAGATATAACGGGCTCTGGAGGAGTGACTCAGCTTGTTCACGTGAGGCTGAGTAGTCCTGCTGGCCTACTTTGAGCAAGAAAAGGAGAAAAGGGGGAAAGCCTCTTTGCTTTTTTTATCCTGTGTGCTGATGGGCAGAGAGGGGAGGAAATTCATCATCTGAAAAAAACTACCACAGATCAACACAGACACACACACACACACACACACACACACACACACACACACACACACACACACACACACACACACACACACACACACACACACACACACACACACACACACACACACACACACACACACACACACCCTCTGGCTGTCTCTGTTCGAGCCATCTCTCCGTACTTCTATTTTATGTGTCACTCCATCCTCCATTCCTCCCCTTCTCCTGGCTCCTGTCTCAAAACATCTTCCTCTCCCTCTTCCTGTTCGACAACAACATCCCTTCTCCCTATCCGATCCAGCGTTTCGTTTCACCCCTCTCCTCTTATCCTTTTTTTCTCTTCTTTTAACTCTCTCTGCGGTAAATAGGTCATTGTCTCTGCGCAGCGCAGAACTGGGTCATTTAGGATGAAAACGTGAATCAGTTAGAAAGGGTGTTTAAAGATGCAGCGATGCACACGCACCTCATCATGGGCCTGTGCGTGAACGCTCCCTGCACACACACACACACACACACACACACACACACTTGCAAATGAGGTTAAATCCCTGATTCCAAATGCGAAAACAAGATCACGCACTTGGCGCTCATCACCCACGCTCACACACAGGGCACTGATAGGAATATGTTCACTTGGCTTCACTTGTATCTGTGGGTGTTTACGGCACAAACTGTGCTCTGGGGCTGTTTGCCTTCTCAGAAAGAAACAGTCAGACACCTCGATGCCATATGCAGCGCTGACACTCAAACACAAACTGTTTTAAACACACACAGTGCCAGATAAGGTTTCCTGCTACCAGCTGCTGCTTCTTATCTGGAAGCATCCATACATACAGTGAAGATGCACAGCTGGCAACGAGCCCCGACATAGCTGGCAGCGTTATACACATTCATTTTTCTATGTAGGTGACATCAGAACAAGCCAACATATATATTTGCTCAATGCTTTACCCGAAAGGCTTTCTTAAAATCCAGGTTTTGGATGTGTGAAGGTTTACTAGGAAGATGCATTTTACCTATTTTCATCACCTTTCTGTCTAAAACACAGACCAATCGTAGGACTTTAAAACAAACAGCAGAGCGTCACATTTGAGTGCTGGAAAAGCAGATTTGTTTGCATATAGATGTTTCAATAAAAAAAATTAAAAAATCAATAGAAGATTAGCAAAACATTTGCCAAGTAATTATTTTTTTATTCTATTTTAATATTCTAAATGATCTTTAGCGTTGAGCTGTTAAAATTGTTGAAAAAGATTTTGCTATTTTTTTCTGCCAGTAGGGTGCCCAGTTCTCGAACAAAATGGCTAAGGTTGCATTTGAGATTAAAGAGGGTGCAGCAGCTACAGTCACTGGCAACAGCAATGAAAAATAGCGTAGGTGTTATGGGTCCCAAATGCTGCCCCCGTAGAGCAGAAAGGTCATGACACTGAATCAAAAAGAATATTTTCCACCTTGTGAGTCAGTCTTTGCGCTCAGGTAATTCCCCTCAGTGTGAATCAACACTTCATCAGAATGCTTCAAAACACATTACAGACTTTTTCTGTATCAAATGTCAATGTTGGCATACATTACTCCTGTTTGTGTGCTGATATCACAGACAAGTCATCTCTGCATCACACATAGCAAAGTAGCCATGAGATCACCATAATCCCAGAAAGTGTGACAGATATCTGACACATCTGAGATGAGATTCATGCACAAGGCAACAAGTCTAAAATCAGATCATCAGCTCGTATTAGTGTTTTAATGTCAAATCATCCTCTCTCTATTAAATTCACATTGAACGTCATCAGAGATACATTGTGTCCACCTGCGGTACACTCCAGACGGACGGACAAAGACTCATGGCGTCATGTCAGTGTCATCAGTGCAGCTGCAGCACAGCAGATGGTAGCACAGTTTTTTTTTTTTTAAATAGACCCTCCTACGTTAAAGCCAAAATCCCTCATTTCGCTTAAATGTCCACCCAGCTGGGTGTCTGAACTGCTCTGACCCTTGTCCCCGCTCACATAATTTACGGAAACACGCACGCTTGTAAACAACGACGAGAGGCGTGTTTTTTGTTTTTTTTAGGGATAATCCGTCACATGCACACAGGCATGGAGTATAACTTTCAAACGGAAAGAAAAACACAATTTAAAAAAAAGCCACATAACTCTTTTGTCAAAGTTGACATATCAATAGAAATGACTACAATTAAAAAGAGATAAATCAACTTAAAATCATACAAATTATAGCTGATGTAGCATACACCATTGGTGGGTCACACAAAGAAAAAACACACTTGACATTAACCATTGATCAGAACCAGACTCCTTTACTGTACTTGTAGCCTGTTTTATAGTTGAGTTACCTTCCAGATGAGGACTCTTTTCCTCCAAGTCATGTTTCATCTCCTCTACTTCTTCTTCTTCTGCCACCCAAGTGCTTGTCGGACTCCTCTCAGGATCCAGCGGGCCCCCCCTGCGAGCCCGCCAGGCTGCTCTTAGCTGCCGTATGAGAGCAGGAAGCTCCAGGGCCAGAGACAAACCCCCACAGGTAACTGGAGGCATCCTGAGAGGACCCCAAACTGGCGAGCGGGGAGTCTCTTCAGGACATACCCTGACTTCAACCCCGACCCCAAGACCAGAGTCCCGCATCCTCAAATCTGGGCCCCAAAGCCCCTCCAGCACTGGCATCCTCTCGCCAAGAGAAAGCGGACAGATGACAGTAAAGAGGGGGTTGAAGGAGAAGAGAAAGTAGACAGCGAGTGAGGAGGAGAGACGGCGGAGTGGAAAACGCTCGCTGTCAGGTAGCCATGGGTGAGGTGGAGGAGAGTCAGAGATAGTCGCAAGTCGGATGTAGGACAGAGAAAAAGACTGTCGGTATGGAGAGTGAATCAGGAGCAGCGAGGAGAGCAGAACAGAGGGATTGGCATGGCGCAGAGCAATAAAATAGATGCCGTGAAAGGGAGCAGAGAAATAGAAAGAGGTGAGAATCTGTCTCTTTTCCTTTCTCTCACAGCCGGCGGCCAGTGACGGTCTGCTCCCTCCTTCTGCCGCATTCTCTCTCCCTGCTACGGTCTCACTCGCGCCAGTGTTGTTTTGGAGTCTGAAAGCCCCTCCCCTCTCTGCTCGCTTACACACTCTCTCACTCACTGCCTTTATGCCAGTGCACCGCATGCAGACACAATAGGACTTAGGTGAAGAACTGTGGGGCTTCAGACACCAGGCTGTGTCTCACGGTCAGGTTAGGAACACAGACTCACCAAGATGAGTTATAACTGTATACAAAATTACTGCAACATTAATACCTTATTCAAATGACCTATAGCACATGGTTTTGCGGACATGGCGCAGGTGTGTTTTAGGTGTGACCATCCCCACTTTCAGTTAAACATGAGGGTTCTTTATCTGGTTACAAAACAGACTGACGCTCTATATGACCCACAAAAGCAAAACGAGACCACTGCAAATACGACTTCTACACAAGATATTATTAATGCATGTCACTGTTGCTGTCATGGCGTGCAGACGTTAAGTGCTTTCATTTACAATGTCCACTTCTTGCACATGAATGCCATTGTATAATTACTGAATGCAGGACCTGTCTATAGAAAAAGCACATCATATCAGTGAGCTGTTAGTGTCTATCCCTTTAACTTCTGGATAGAGTGTAAACTCCTGAATAAGAAATCCTTAATGATCCCAGGGGGAAATTTGGTTGTTTTGATAGGATCAGCAAATAGATAAGGGATACCACTTTAAGGACAGAATTGAAGTTCCTCACAGTAACTTTAAACATCATATAATCTTTTAACAGCACATAAACAGGGAACAAAGTAAGGCTGAGGTGGCAAAGGGATTGTATCTGGTATCTTAATTCATCACAGGTGTATTTTAGGTGTAGCTAGATTAAATCAAATCAATCACAGTGTCATCTCTTGTCCCTTAAAAATCCAACTAGCAGAATGCCATTACAATAGCAGATTTGAGTTATTCTTTGAAAACAGTGACTGGATGGGGTTGAACTCAGGGTCATTAACTGTTTGTGTATTTGGATGTCATTGTCAGTAGTAGTGTTTTGCTCTTAAACAAAAGTATTTCCTACTGGCCTTTTTGTTGTTGCATGCAAATTAGAGAGGGCCCACTTCAGAGCTTGATTTGATCTTGGGCCGACTTTTTTTTTTTCTCTTACAGGAATCTAACACACATAAAGTAAAGTCGACGAGGGTTCAATGTGATAAGAGTTCTTGTCTTTTCACACCACCATAATGCTGCAGGTGGTCTACGTCAAGAGAGGTGTAAATTAAAGGGTGCCCTCTTCCAGTTCACTGCCCCATCAACACCTTCATTAGACAGTGTAACTGTAAGGACAATTGTAGTGTTATTCAATTAAGGAGGAGGAGTGCTGCGGTGCTGCGGTGCCACCCTGCGTTTGCGTCAAGCAAAATCACAGCAGCTTTTTGACCTGCCTAAGTTTTAGTAGTTAATAATGCAATCAATTTCTGCTCCCTGAAAAAACTTGCAAAGAATCTTCCGGACCCAATTTCACTGTAACACCAATACTGTATGTCCATGAGCACATGGATGGATGGATGGAAGATCATTTGCTACCTGTTTTGAGCAAATCAAAACCGCATTGGTGTTAAAATATAAGACAATTTCTTAACAAACACTACTGTATACCTGGAAGTTGGCCTTAGAAGACATGCAAAAAGCTGGAAGAATACAATAACTGTGTGCAGTGCTTCAAAAAGTATTTTAGTTATTTGTTTGAGCTACAAAATCTACAATAACAGCTTCATAATACATGCTTTGCTCAACCAAAAATTAAAATCCTCACTGTTTCATTCTCAGTTAAACAAAATGAAAAAAAGCAAAACCAATCCAATAATTGTCTAATTGTTCCGGTACTAATTTTGTGCATTGTTTCACTGAAGCTTGATCAAACATGCCCTGGCTAGTGCAGAAGTATTTTCATTAAGGTTGACTCACAAACACTCTTGTTTTCAAGTACACTGATAAATAACACTATGTCATGGGAGCAGTTTCCAACAGAACTCGTTCTGCTCACAGGTAAAGTAAGGAAAATGCTGAGAGTCAGCCTTCAGCGACACCTCACAGGCATTAAAAGACAGCCCAGTTGTATGTATTCATTTGTTCTGAATCCTCCTGTGCAGTCAACTAACAGAAGCAGAATGACAGGATATGACTGAAAGAGTTAAATTCATGGATGATTTTTTAAAGAAATGCCAAAGGACAAAACAATAAATTTAAGAACTATGATGACCACTGCATGAAAACAAGTTGATCCAAGACTAATGAAAAGTAAAAAGAACACTTGTCTGTTCTTTCTCTATTTGTGCTCTGCAGAGTCTAATAAAAAAGAATGGACTCAAGTGAATCAGTTTTAACTTAGATGAACTAAACTTCAAATGAAACACTCCCTTATGTTGTCCTTAAAAGTCACACACATCCCCAAAGGCTTTTCTGTGACTACTGAAAACCAGAAATTAATTAACAGTAATACAATTAAGTGAGCGTAAGTGGATCAGACCCGTGTGTTTATCTTTACATGAATGTCATCATTAAGGACTGTAAGTATAACCATGACATTTTTTTTCCAGGCAAACGCTCCCTTGAGTTACAGTCACATGTTCCTGACACACACACACACACACACACACACACACACACACACACACACACACACACACACACACACACACACAGAGTAAAAATCTAGCCATGAGACAAAATGTACAGAAGGGTGTTTCAGGCTAATGCACAATGGCTTTGTATTCAATGCAATGTTGTTTTGTTAAAGGAAGGATCGGGTTGGTTGTGCGGTCATAATAAGTTGTGTTGTGATACTAAGTTGAGATGCTGCATTGACTGTATTGCTGGATCAAGAAAGTTGTGTGTAAATTTTGTAGTGGTGTTTTGTACCATATAAGTATTTGGTGGTGTTTTGGTACTGGAATTGGTGGGTTTGGCAGTGTTGAAGAATTTGGCTATGTTGTGGTATTTGGCTGGGTTGAGGTATTTTAATGCTGTTGGATTATATGGTGTAGTGGAGTTTGGTTGTGTTTTGGATTTCTTTGTGATGTGGTAGTCAGTGCTGTCGTTGAAGTATTTGGTGATGTTAGGTTAATAAGCATGTTGGTTGAGTTGTGGAGTGTTAGATTTGTTGACCTGTTTGGCTGGAAGCATTTTTGGTGCCATGGAATTTGAATGTGTATAGGAATTTTGGTGTATTATGATCTGTTGTTATTGAAAGTGGTTGTGTTTTGATTTCGCTGTCATGGAATTGAAGTGCTTAGAGCAATTTTGGTTGTTCTTTGGATTTGGTTATTTTATTGAATTTAATGCTGTTTTGATGGTTGATGGCATGGTGGTATTTAGGGCAGTTATGTTATTGTGTTATGATATAATGTTGTGTTTTATATTTGTTGTTTCTGTGTTTTTCATAGTGTTAAGGTATTTGGGTGTTAAAGAATTAAGTTGGGTTGTCCGTATTTTCATTGATTTTATATATGTCACCTATTGGTTTCCAAAGTAATAAAGTTGTTTGGCTTATTATGTATTTGCATTTGTTTTCTACAACAGCAGTCTGTTATCAGGGCAACATATCTATGGGAGCTGAGACAGCAAACCAGGACAAAATCACACATAGGACTTACTATCTTACAAAACATGCAAATAAAAACTGTGTGGGAATATTAGGGGCAAAAAAAAAACATTGCTAGAATTGCTAATTAAGAGAATGTGTGAAAAGAAGATGTGACAGAGATAATAAAAAATATAGAGATTAGTGATTGGGTCAAAGAGTTAAAAAGAGAAAGATAACTGAGAGTTAATGAGGTCAGTGGGAAGCTGAGTACATTTGGGAGTCAGCTTGTGGACACAAACACCCCACCACACACACACACACACACACACACACACACACACACACACACACACACACACACACACACACACACACACACACACACACACACACACACACACACACACACACACACACACACACACACACACACACGAAGAGTTACAGAACAACTGAGATTCAACTCATCCTCTGCACTCGAGTGATGTCTGTGTGCAGACTCTTATTTTGGATTCTCTCTAATGATGCCCCTGGTCACGTTTTCTGGCGGGTTACTATAGAGAAGTGGGTCAGCCTTTGACTGAAGTGGCCTGCTTAAAAAAGAAGCATTGCCAAGTGTTTGTATCTGCATCTTCGTCTGTTTGTGTTTGTGTTTGTGAAAGCATGGGAAAGGGCGCATGACATTTTCTGAACTTGAATTTTAACCCCCTAGCAGTGTACCTTTTTTATGTTTTGCTTGCGGTTGAAACTTGGAAACGACTAAGCACTAAGACTGCAGGAAAATACATTTAAAGGTCTGAATTACTGAGGTAAAACACAGTTAGATAAACAGCTTTATTTTTATGTCTCTGGCCCTCAAACCATTTAAAAAAATGGTCAAACAATGTTAAGAGGTCACTTGCGTAAAAGCTTTTGTACAAGATGGAATTCTTTAGTGTTATGAAACCTACTGTATTGAGCCATAACTGTAAAGTGTAGAGCTTCAGTGTTTAACAGAGATTACACTGTGCCAAAGGTTACTGAAAGCCTTATGCCTGGTTTCCAAATATTTGGGCATCTTTTGCACCATCAGTTTTTCAGCTGACTACATATATTAACAACCTTTTGCACCAAGGTATTCAGGTCAGTTAGCTTTTCTTACCCAGCATGCGAACTTGTACGGCATTCTGCTCCGACCTTTGAAATGCGACTGCTCCACACCTCTGTGACAGAGAGAAAGAAAGCGAGAGAGAGAGACATAGAGGGAGAGGCTGAGATTAATATTACAACACCCCAAAATACACTCTGCTATCAAAAGAGCATCAATGAACCTCTATAATAAATAGAAACAGGTGTGAAAAGTCATGCTGGCCCTCTTTCTGAGGCACAACACACACACAAACAGACCTCTATCACACTGATGTGTCATTTTGCCAACCTACACTCAAAACCTTCAAAATCTACAGCCGTTTCCAAAATAGATCTATT